GAGTGCTTAACCACTGTGTTACCAAGGCTCCTTGCTAATTGTAAAGGAGAAACTAAACTTCAGCAAGGCTCAGACACCGGGCACTTAGAAGAGACTGAATCTTGAGTCCCACACACCCACCTCTGGGCCAGACCAAACTCACTGTCTTAGAAAGAGCACATGCTATTGCATTCGGTAAGCCATTAGTGACAGAGATGCTAACCCCTATTAATACACACCAATCGCCTTTCCAACCCGTAAAGCAGAATGACAGCTGCTGCTTACTTTTGCACCAGAAGCTGAAAGGAAAAGGAAAAAGTGAAGCCAGGAGATTCTGGGAAGGAAATACCGGAAAAGGCTTTTAACCCCCTTGGGAATGTAATTGTTTTCTAGTTCATTTTTTACAGAAGACTCCTGCACATCTCCCCTAAGGAGGGATATGGCAATTATTAGCAGAAAAGCAAGCTCTGGGAGAGTGAAAATAATGCTGCTATGGTTTAATTAACATTTTCTTCGTCAATAACAAAGACATGGTTTAAAAAGGCACATCTGCTGCTGAGGAGGACCCCAAGTCACTCAGCTTCTCACTGAAGAAGGGCTGAGGCATTGGGGAGGGTCCAGGGGGAAAGCAGGGCGCAGACAGCTGGAACAAACGGAGGAGGTCAGCAAATAGGGGTGACAGGTAGCCTCACAAGATGGCTATGAGGCCTAATTTAGATAACAAGAGCTAAACCCATTCGAGGCACTCAGGAAATATATCTACTAAGTTACTAGAACCAAAAAAACAAACCAAACCCATTGCCACTGAAGTCTATTCCAAATCATGGCAACGCCATATGTTGCAGAGTAGAACTGCCCCAAAAAGTTTTCTTGTCTGTAATCTTTACGGAAGCAGATTGCCAGGCCTTTTTTCCGTGGAGCTGCTGGATGGGTTTGAACTGCCAACCTTTCAGTTAGCAGCCAGTTGCAAATTGCTTGTGCTACCAGGGCCCCTTAAGTTACTAAAAGGGGGACTATATTTCCCAAGGGATTATTCCGTGCCAGCTGTGTGCAAGATGGTATAGAAGTATTTTTTAAACAAGTAAGCAGATAAAGAGGAGGAGCCACAATGCAACACTGGGAGAATTCACTGTCTCAAGGTGCTAGAAAGTTCTCTGGCCCCCTTAGTTTTCTCTTTGTGGTTAAGAGCTCGACTGCTAATCAAAATGTCGGCAGTTCGAATCCACCAGCCGCTCCTTGGAAACCCTATGGGGGCAGTTCTACTCTGTCTTAGAGGGTCGCCGTGAGTCGGAATCAACTCATTGGCAATGGGTTTGGTTTTTTTGTTTTTTTCTGAATGCTTCCTAATCCTTGATATTTCCATCTGTAAGGTGGGGGTGATGATAACTCTTCTT